AAGCATATTTCCATTTTATTTTTTTTAAAAGTTATATGTAATTTATAGGTTTATTCATAGAGTTTTTTCTATATAGTTTTAATAGCATTTTATTCATTTACATGAGTTTTTCACTTTAAAAGCATCTATTGCATAGTATATTTGAATTAAATAACATGTCTAATTGACATTTAATGGTTTAAACTCTAGATCATGTTAATATTTAATGAGTATCGAGGTCAATGACCATTGAACTTTTCAAAAAAAAAGGAAAAAAAATCTTTCAATTATTAAAAATAAATTTCATTAAACTATATAAAGTTTAATGCATTGTAGGAAAATTAATATAGAGTTGTATTAAATTTAAAATGATGACGTGCAATAATTAAATTCTAATCAGTTCAATGTGCCTTAAGATTATAAATACAATTTTTCAACGATTATAAATACCAACAATTATTTAATTTTATTAACACACAACAACTTTTAATTTTTCATTTAAACATTTTTTATTTGATAAAAAATTGTTTCTTCCAATTCTCCATCCAACCCAAAACTCCAAGAAAAATCAACAAAATTACTCAAAATACACCACTTCAAATTAACCATTGATCACCTATCTTCCAAATGGAACATCCTATTTATTTGTAAAAAGGTTTTTAGTACAATGGATATACTTTAAGACTTGTTTTTGTTGTTTATATAAAAAATAAGTTAATTTTTTTTATTGTAAATTCTCTTGAAATTATGATTTTTTTTTCGAACAATAAAAATCTCTTCTTTTAGGATCAAACTAGTTTTATGCGTTTTTTTCATTGTTTAAAACATACACATTGCATACAATAGTTAAATCCACTTACAATAGAATACTAACAAAGCATCTACAATAAGAGAACTTCAATGAAAAACTCAATATACAAAGACTTATTGTATCTCTTACAATATGAAAGCTTTTTCCTTTTCCTTTTTATTAGTTGTTTTTAGATGTTGTATAGTTCTAGTGGGTTAAAAATTTATGGGTACCACAAGAAATGAAAAAAGCTTTTTGACTAGATCTTGTTAATTAACAAGCTTACTCAAAATCGTGTGAGATGAGGTATGTGCACTGGCGAGATTATTTGATACGATGGTGGGTCACTTGACCCACCTTTTTTTTTATTTTTTATAATAAGTTATAAAACTTAAAATTTGTGACCTACCTAAAAAATTTTAAATGAACCGCCTTAATATTTTTGACAAAGAAAAATATATAAATCAGATTTTTAAAGCTCACATTCTAAACTTTAATACTCCAATATTTTTTAAGATATAATCCAATATTCATAGCCCAATACAAGTTAAACTAAAAAATAATAATAATAAACGTGAATAACGAATCAGCAAGGTCGTTTCACAATCATGAATTAATGATAGTAATTTAATTCAATATAGGCAGTATGTTTAATTGGATTCGATCACTGCTGGTTTTTTTTTTTTTAATTATTGCTTGTTAATATTTATTCCATGAGCATCAAAAGCTATTGAATGTTTGTTAGTACTTAATAGTGATTTTTTTTTCACTTTTTTGTTTGTTCCATGATTCCCGATATGTTTTTTATTGTTTCAAACTTATTCCATGTGGTTTTACATTCTAAAGTGTCACTCGGTATGTGAACTGCATAATCACAAAATTGCACACGACTGGCTCAAATCCATACACAGCATGCGACTGAAAATGTGTGAAACGTGTTACCTCTTTCACGAATCACAACCACGTTGGCAGCTACCTGATTCTCCAATTCTAGAGTATACAACGATGATGGGAGTGTGATGGGTAAACTAATAAGTGTTCTTTGATTTGTTTCATCTTAGATTTATATTAGTGAGATATGTAAATATATATTCTTCAAAGCTGGTTTTGATTTGAGAATTCACCAAAAAGAAGTAGTGGAGACGCTTAAAATTGCTCTATTATTTATGTGTGCTTGATGTGTGTAGTTATGTGTATCGAGGATAGGAAAAGAATAATGGGGAGAATAATTTAGAGAACTTTTGTTGTTTGTGTGTGTTTCCAGGTGTCTTCCATCCTTATTTTGTGTATTTGGTGTGTGTTTAACGGTGAGTGTAATAATGTGTGTGATTTCTTTTACATGTTTTCTATCTCCATCTAAAAGTTGGAAAGTCTACAAGATATCTGATGAAAATGATGGTGGTTGATAGTGGACGATGGTGGTGGTAGAAGGTAGCAGGTGGGGGTAGTATGGAATGGGGTGTAGTGGGTATGGTTGGCCTTGGTAATTTAATTTCAATATAAATGATAACTAAAAAAAGATAAATATAGAGTATAAGGTAGGGGTGACACATTTCAGCCCACCTGTAACCCAACATGAAAATAAACGAGTTTGGGTTGAGATTTCTAACCTGCCAACCTGTTTATTTCTAGGTTTGGTTGGGTTACATGTTTGGGTTCGTGGGTCAACCCGCCAACCT